AAGCAGAACAATCGCGATGTGCGTACGTCTTTCCATTTTGGCCATTACCTAGCAACAGCTGTACACAACAGCAGCTCAATGATGCAAGCATACCATGGTCCAGAAGGAAAAACAACAGTGTGTACTGATAGACGATGTCATCGTCCATCGGCGATGGCCAACAGACAACACGATGCTGAGCCAACCAAACCCGCTCACGAAAAATACACACTCAGACCCCGTTTGCACTAATACGTCTTAGTGTTAAAAATAGCATTTTAGAATGGCAATGAGCCACTTTCACATCGTGTTTTACCTAGCATTTTTAAACAGCCCTCCGTCTCCTGAAAACGCACATCACGTGACACAAGTGGTGCAGAGCCACACACACACACACACACACACTGTCATGCGCTCCTCTGAGCTTCAGAGACAGAGAGCAGTGCACGTCGGACAGTTTTTCAAAGATGTACCGCTGGGTCGCATCTTGCTATAGTTGTTAAACGTGATATTCTGACATCTCAAGTCTACCGGAAGTTCCGGGAGTCTGTATGCATTTGCGGGACTCATAATGCCAGCAAACGAGTGATAATCTCCTGGTTATTGTGAACCCCCCCCCCCCGGCTTTTCACAGGATGACGATGTCATCGTTCATCGTGATGTTTCACATTACACATTGTTCGATGCCAAATTGGTCGACATCGCCCTACCCTTAGTGTGAACACAAACCAGTTGAGGAGATGGCAAGGGGGGACAGTCAAACTTGGGTTTGGTCAAGGCAATTGAACCAAGTGTGAAAGCAACTTTAGTTTCTTTCTTCTATTAAACAAAATAGCAAGATATTTTGAAATCAAATAATGCTGGTTCCTGGCATCCATCGACTTCCATACTAGGAAAATAAATTAATATGGAAATCAATGGGTGCCAGTTCAACAGAAGACAGGAACTCAACTAGGTATTGAACAATAAATTGTGAGTAAATGATGGCAGAATTTTCATTTTTGAGTCTACTATCCCTTTAAGTTTTATACTTTACAAATAGACACAGCTGACTTTCCAATTGAGAGGATTCTTTGTGCCAATAAGATAGACTTTGTCTGAACCTCTCAACCGTAGTTTTATGGTGGTCGTTGACTCCCCATCCACCACATCTCTCGGGGGGAGGCATTGTCATTCCAGTCAGTCTCCCGCGTCAGCGCATCAGTGTTTGTACTGTGATGGAGCGCTGGATCTCCTCCCTGTCTTTCATATCCAACTTTATCACAGTCATTGACTGGCTGATCAGAGGGAGCTCTCCTCTGCTATTTATGAGCCTGCCTCCCTGGGTGCCTACTTCCACTGACTCATTCACCTCCTCGATGATGCCTGGGAATGCTTCCCGCTCCCACACAAATACACACGTCTGCCCGCTGCAAATTCGAGGGAAGACTCCATTAGATCAATGCTGTTTTTGTAGTATTTTATTAGTTTTTTTACACCCATCTTGATAGGAAATCACTGTCGTGTGTTCACTGGAGTTTCTCAGAACTCCAATGAGAGCTTTTGTGCAGAAACTCCTAACACCAATGAAGAAGCAACCCAGGGAATCCCCATAGCATTGCATTATAAATAGAAAATTTAACTGCTGTCATTTACTATGTGTTACTAATAACAGTGACTACAGCATCTTTACTAAAGCATTTTTCTGAAATCATGAAGCGAGTAAAAACCTTTATTTTATGTGGTACTTTTCTTTGTATCGTTAACTACACTACACTACACAGAGCCAAAATTCACTAAGAATCAACACCAACAACTGTCAATATCATAGAATGGTTATCTCGATGTCATTATCGTATGATTAAATCCATTTTGATTTTGAAATTTTAGCGGTTTGTCAGTGTACTTTGACTGTGTCTAATAAATTCTGCTCAAACTGGAGATTCATTTGATTAATCGGCCCATCCCTAATTTTACTATCAAGTTATTTTTAATGAAGCATGAGTGATACATGTCGTCGTTCCATTCAAAATCTGTTCACCCAAAACTCTGATTCTTCAAAACATTCGTAAATACAAATTCATGTGAACCAAGCAGTTCAAACCAAACATGATTGCTATTATATTTTGAACAATTAAGTATAAAAAAAGTGTAAACACAGACACCGTCTTACAGAGGTCTCACAGATTTCATGATTGTCTTTAGAGGATTAATGCAAGGTTATGATAAGTTTAGATTTAGTGTTATTTTTAGTTTTTATATTATGAAATTGCTTAGTTTAGTTTTAGTTTAGTGTTAGTTTTAGTTTTTTGTAATTAAGGATATTTGTTTGGTGGAAGATTCAAAATCATCAGAATTAATGTTGTATAATAAAATCTAAACCAGGGATAGGGTAATTTTTTTGACACCATCTACCACTACCATTTACTCATCATCAAACTCAAATACAGCAGCCCACAAGATAGCAGCCTTAAGTACAATATGTGTGCAATGCTGCTTCTGAAGTTAGATACACAGAGACATATACAGATAAGTTACATATACATATACAAATAAGTTCGGATCTTTAGTATGAATCAAATCTTACCAAGTTTGGACTCAACAAATCAAAATATGTAGCTGGCAATTATACTTTCAGTCAGTTAAAACATCACCATGATTTGAAAGTTTTTTTAACAGTTACATTTTGCAACCCAACTGAAACATGATTCACTTATTTAAATTCCATTACAATTTTCTGTTTTAAAACAAACTTACGTTTCGCCAGATCCTCTCTTTTAAGCCCTCTGTTTACCCGCACTGCAGTTGTTCAAGTTAAGTTCAGTCACAGCAGGCTGTCATGTACTTCTTGTGTTTGGTTCTGCTAAATCACGCATGTGCAGTACTGTCAGTTCACCGCTACTCAAATCTGATCTCTGTGTACTGTTCTAATAACTGAATAACTCAATATATATTATTTTATTTCAAGTCAGAGGGGGTATCAAGCATGCAAAAAGTCAGTTGTTTTTGGATAAGTGCTTAATTTTTCTGGAGATGCGAATCGTTTCAAATGATTCAGTTCGTTTTTTGCTATAATTTTGGTTAGTTTCAGTTAGTACTAGTTAAAAAAAAACTCTTTTATTTTTATTTTAGTAAACGAAGATCATTTTAAATTTTAGTTTTTGTTTTTTTATTCGTTTTCGCTAACTATAATAACCTTGGAATGAAAGTCCTATTGTAATAAAATCCTTTACACAATAATAACCCAGGAGATTTATTTTCTTAAATGGTAAGTTTGCGTTCCAAAATATTGCACTGTGTTGCTCAAATGTGTGGCATAAACATAGAGTACACTCAGTCATGTTTTTAGTCATTCACTATTTCCATTATGGCTGCACGATATTGGAAGAATCGAACATCGCAATATTTTGTTATTCTGCGATATACATTGTGATATGAATACAAGTACACTAGATGACTTAATATCTTTATTTGGAAAAAAATGTATCATTTTAGATTGATTGACATGATACTTTAGGGGGGTGCGTACAAAAAGTACATAATACAAATAAAATACAACAAAGAAAAGGGTACAGTTGGAATAAACTGTGTTTTATCATTTTCCGAGTCTGAACAGTATTCAGGTACATCTATTAAATAATAATACTAAAACTAATTCAATGTATCATTATTAAAGTTACAAATAGTATAAATTATTATGCCTGAATGTTTTTAAAATCCTCATACAGTCACTTGCCTCAAAAATGCAAATAATAAATTGTAATACATTGTTTGATGGGACTATTGTAAATGGTTACATTGTAATAGCGATGCTGAAACGATATTTTGTTCAGCCCTAATTTCCATTCATAAAAAGGTCATAAATCAGTCCTCATGTTCATATTCAAAATACGTTGTTACATCATAGACAGGTAGTCTCTTTTTTTGATGCAATATAACTTATTTTTAATATATTTTCAGCTGTTTTTGTCCATAAAATGAAAGTGAACCGGGTCCAAAATGACCTTGACATTGACTTTCATTATACAAAACAAAAGACCCTACCACAAACAAATTTTTTCAAATGATCTATTGTGACTGATATGTCCCATCGTTGTCTATTCCCATAAAAGCAGTGTCTGATATTATGTAAAATAAGCAAACCTTATGTTTAAACATGAAATCTGGACCCAAACCAGCATAGAATAGCCACTCTTTAGTATATGCCATCATTGCCGTACCCATAGTGGAAATAAATGTTTTTACCCCAAATGCGCATCAGCCAGGCAAAAACCGTGTTTTGACCAAATTGTGCCTGTCTATGGATGTAATTTTACCAGGAGAGCTTTGTAGGGCTATTTTCTCTTATGGCTGAAGGAAGAGAAAAAGGAAAGCATAGTAGCAGAGGGATGGTACAGTTTCAGCCCTGCGGTACACTGGGAGCTGGGTAATTGCTAGCCCAAGCGGCTAAACAACAGACATAATGGATACAGAAAATGACAAAAACACAAGAACCGCGATGGTGCCGTCAGATTGCCGTGACAACTCCAACCATGCTTGCTTTGGCTGATCTTTCTGTTCTTTTCACGGAGCAAACGGGCTGTGGAGATCGGACATGCGGCCGCTGCGGTTGATGGGTGTTTTGTGTGTGTGTGCATGTGCACTTGTGTAATCAGCGATCTCCTACGAGCTGTCTTTAGCTGCTGATTTTCCTTCTGAAACTTTTGAAAAACGTCCAAACAAGAGAGACGGCACAGTTAGGCATTGAAAGGCAATAGCTCTGTTATAAAACCAACCAAACTGCCCTCATAATCAGTCACCTACTAAGGCTGCACGCTGATGTTTATGAAACCATTTTTGCTTATGAAACAATTGTCTTGTTTAAACTACTTATTTCAAATGAGATGAATTAACACAATTGTTATTTTGGTGATTCTTATTATTCTTATTTAACATTTCTCATGTTTGGAGCATATTGGAGTTATTTGCGATGTACAGTATAATCTGCAATTTTTTTAGCGACATGTGAATTGAATCTCTGCTTTTCTCTTCTTCTCTTCCAGATTAGCTTTATACGTATACGAGTACTTGTTGCATGTTGGGGCCCAGAAATCAGCACAGACTTTCCTTTCTGAGGTAAGACATTCATTTGAACACAGATGCACACACTCCCACATTTGTTTTACTGTATTAGTGAGGGCATTTCATCATGGTCGAAATGGAGTGGGATGAAGCACAAGGATTTTTTAAGGGCATACTTATTCGTCTAAACCAAACCTACACATAACTATCACATAAACATGTGCAAAACGCAATTAAACTGTTACAACTGTGGTTCAAATTTTTTTTAATGGATAATTAGAAAAATTAGGCACATTTATTTAGCACATTACTTATACAGTGATTATTGGAAGTGCTTTACATAAACATTTTTATTCCCAAATTGTGATGATATTGCATCACTTATGTTGTCTGCTCACATTGTGCACTAAAAACATGTTCTTTTGCGTGATGAGGAAGTACTTTTGAGTAGTTAAGCTTTGGGACAGACTACTAACAAACAAACCTTCATCCTGCACATGTAATTTCATTTAATTGGGGAAAAATAAAGTAACACATTGGTCTGCCAGTCGAAGGTCTTTTATGTGGAGACATGAAATGGATTTGAAAGCAAATGTCCAAAACGATGATCATACAGATCTTTTTAAAACAACTTTATAAAGGTTTACAATGTTTTGGTGGAATAACATTGAATAAATATTTTTCATCAGGTTGGGTGATCACTCTTACCACTTCAAAACTATTTTATAACTCTCTACTTAACCACTATGGTTGAACAACAGCAAGAAAATAATTTCTTTAGGAAATAATAGGCCACCCAGGTAACTTTGGAATGCTTGTTTCAACATACAACTTCCTACTAATAATGAGTTGAAACTGAAGGTTTTCTTTTGGGGGGATAACTTAATTGTTTTATGTTCAATCCACTTAAATTTGTAAAACAATTAAGGTATCTTAAGGAATTAAGTGGAACCCTGCTTTTTTTTAACAAACACTAATTCTAATTTCGAACATTATTTATTGTAGGACGGATATTATGTGAACTGAGACACAAGGGATGTTTCCTATCAAGCCTGTTCTTTTCTGTAATGCTGTAAATCCAAATTGAATCCACTTGTTTCATTTGAAAGGCTCAGGATGTTGTGAGTCTGTACGCCACAGTAACATTTTTTTTTTAAAGATTTCTGTTGCTCCACATTTAATTGAGTACATAAGAGTCCATTTAATTTCTTCAATTTCAATACACACAAAATATTGTTCTCAAAATATTGGAGTTGTTCTTAATTATACTCAATTGTTTACCTTTCCTCATATTTCTGCTATCTCAGTATCTATGAGCTGGTATGTGCACCATCCGTGTGCAAAATTATGAATTTCCCCACCATTAATTTTCTAAAAACAATTGTTTATATAACACTGACCAACCAGACTTTTGGTTGCTGTTTGTTTGTGAACAGTCATATCCGGCCATTACCTCAGGCTGTTTTATTCTCCTTGTTGACTTGATGGCATCACTGCTGCGTTGCGGCATCACTTTCCTGACTTTCTACACCACTTCTGGAAAGCACCGCAAGTTGGTCAGATGTTTATCGTGCCGTTTGGCAGCCCGACGAGGTGAAATTGACTGATAATGTGTTCTTAACCTTCAGACCTGCTTCAGTAATCCACTTTCAGCTGCAGTGAACAAACCTATCCCCTCTATCCTCTTAGATCGTCGTTTTTTCTCTCTCTCTCTTGCTACATTTTCCTGTGTAATCATCCATATATAATTGTTATAATAGGCTAATTCTTTCCTCACACTTTCCACGGTCAGTTCAGGTCCCTCCGCTCACCTATTGCAAAGGGGAACGTTCCTTAAATACACTGAGATTATGGCCTTAATGAGAGTCGCCCTGGTCATTTCCACACTATCAAGTGAAAGTGAGCCCGCAAGGCTCGAACGAAGGGAGAAAAAACAGTGGCCGTGATTAATTTTGTGGGTCATGGCACTGCATTGCTAAAGCCTGCTGTAGGTCTCCATTTTGGTAGATTGACTAGGATGAAGCTGAGTAATGACTGCCAATGACTGCCTTCAAGTCATGTCGTAAATTAGTTTGTACACTTTTTGCATGCTGTGAAAGAATGAGAATGAAAACCCTGCCTGCGTTTTGTTTCCCTTGTTGTTCTAAACTAGTATGACCAAGGCCCAATCCCAATTTTACACCTTAAGACTGATTTATACTTGCGCCTGGTGCCGCATCGCGGACCTCCGCTGACTGCGCATGCACCTTACGAAACTGACTTTTATACTTGTTGCGTTTGCCGTTGTGATATTCTTTAAAATGACAGGGGGCAGTAAAAAGAAACCATCCGTAAAATCAGACAGATAAACAGAGAAATAGGAAGTTTCCGGAACTACGTCTTATAATTAATATCGTTCAAGATTTTTTAAGCTAACTATTTTTATTATTTAAAAATATATATATTTTAATGAATATTGGAGCTTTTATAGACACTCAAAGCGCTTTACACAATGGGGGGAATCTCCACATCCACCTGGATGACGCAATGGCAGCTATATTGTGCCAGACGGCACACCACACACCAGCTGATTGGTAGAGAGGAGACAGAGTGATGAAGCCAATTATGATATGGGGATGGTTAAGAGGCCATGACGGACAGAGGCCTTAGGGCAAATTCGGCTAGTATGCAGGGGTTAAAGTCCTATTCCTTTTTTGAAGGACATCCTCGGATTTTTAACGACCACAGAGAGTCAGGACCTCTAACGTCTCATCTAAAAGATGGCGCTTACTGAGCAGTATAGTGTCTCCTTCAATATACTGGGGCATTAGGACCCACACTGGCCACAGATTGAGCACCGCCTGCTAGCCTCACTAACACCACTTCCAGCAGCAACCTAGCTTTTCCATTTGGTTTCCCATCCAGGTACTGACCGGGCGCAGCCCTGTTTGGCTTTAGTGGGCAACCATGTGAGAGTTGCAGAAAGCTAGCTGCGAGCAAATATATACTGTTTTACTGTATACTGACTTTTTTATTTAACTCAATTAACAATTCACACATTGCTGTCTGGCTAGTTTTTCCCTCTACTGCTAAAAAGGCAACAATGTTCGAACATCCGTGACCATTATCACTAATATCTAATATCAGTATATTGTAAACCGATAGGTTAAAAAATTCCTTTTTTAGTTATCAAAGAAATAATTTGTTAATTGATTTTAGTTTTGTAACTATTAAATTGTTTTAAATTCAAAATTGTAATATATACATCAGTGTTAAACCTATAAATGTTGGAAAAACATATTCTGCAATTGTTTATTAAAACCACCTGGGTCTCCACTTTTGCTGGCTTTAACATGGCTTTTCTTTCTTGGTTTTAACAAACTTATTTCTCAGGTTTTTCCAAACTTTTACTAAAACCATCCTCCTTTTTCACTGTCTCAATTTCTAGCCAAGAATTATTGGTCATCTGGTTCTCCCTATGATCACACATAGACGAATCATAAAGATATCTGTACAGGCGTACCTTTTTCAGACATAATTTCTTCAAAGTTTTTTATATTCAACTCAAATGAAACACACCGTGTACTGTTTGATCGACTCAAAAAAAAAAATATTGTGTGCTCCGCCGACTGAAATCATGTTGTGTTCACCCAAAGCGAACCTCTGCAAACACAGCAATGACATCACATTCGTGAACGTGCACTCAAGCGAACTAGCGGACGCATGGAGTATAAACCAGGCTTTAGCCATTCCCCCTCCGAAGAGGTAGAGCTGCCCTAATTGTCTTTAGCTTAAAGGCATAGGGCTAATGGGAAGGGCTAGACGGCCCTTGAAACCGAGATTTTCCAGGACCACTCTAGAAACCAAGGGGTACAAAAATTTCCCAGAATGCACCAGCTACAACGGCAACATGGCTGCATACCTAAGTCAGGAGATGCACAGATTTTTTTGCCATTATTAAGAATTTTTACAACAAAAAAGCTAATATTTTACTACATAATACATTCATAAAGATGTTCGCGTTTTACACTCATGCTTTAAAAAAAGCTCCAAATTTTGCTATCTATATTTCCGGTATAGTAGTCCCACAACATACTTTATCATCTGTCACTCGATTACACTCCAATATCCTGTCAGAGAAAACTAGTGGCTGGGAATGAGCTTTTCACAGTGTCTGTTTTACCGTTAATTTTTTCTTGTGTTTACTCAGACGAATATGACCATGATGTAAATACACAGTACAGTTACGAGCATATTACCACATTACAAGATAAATACCTAAATAGTGCAACTTGAATAAAATAGAATTGGGATTGGTCCTTACTTTCTTGGTGGTATTGGTGGTTTACATGTACTCTCTGTAAGCGTTATGTATTTTATACTGTAAAAAGGCTAATTATATGGCCGTACCCCACCCCTACTGCTTTTCACAGGAAAACGGTGGTAAAATGTAAATGTGAAAAGACCCGATTAAATATGATTTTTAAGCATTCTGAATTATAACGACACCAGTGATGTTCTCGTAAACCACTGTAATGGATTACTGCTAGGTCATACCCATGTCATTATACAAAAACTGTCCTTGTAAACCACCAAAACAGCACACACACACAAACAATGTGATAATAATTGAGTAATAATAACTACACAGACATTAATCCTGTTGTATTAGTCAAAAATCCTAACTTCTATTAGCCAAAATATTTCCCAGTGTGTCCATATCATTCACAGCAAAATCTTCTAAATCTTAAAAATGAATTTTGACTTCTAAACTTGTTTAAATGGGCTTCCCAGGCAGACTTTCTCATCCTGTAGCATTTTTGCTGGGGTGTTGTAGAAGGACAAACAAGTGTGATGCTGTGATAGAGAAAGCGGGATGATGTATGGGATCTGGATTGGGTCAGGGAACAGACTGCGGAACCTCTGACAGGAAAATGTTTTGCACATTATCTACAATCTTACAACACCTCTCTCTCTTTCTCTCTCTCTGTCTCTCTTTCTCCCTCTTTCCCCTTCCGCTGCCTGTTGTAGATCCGATGGGAGAAGAACATTACGCTAGGGGAGCCCCCTGGATTCCTCCATTCATGGTGGTGGTAGGTCTCTTGTGTTTTCTTCATTACACTTTTTTATACGTGTGCTCTCTGCCTGTCTGTGCACAAGATAGCACCAATATGGACAAATAATTTCAGCAGTGTTTTGATGCCTTGTCTTACATAGACATAGTCTACGCAAGTTATTTTTCAGTACTCGCTGAAAGCACAGATGTTACATAAAGCCACAAAATCAGCTCATTCAGACATGTTTAATAGTGCTTATTAAAGCAAGCATCGCTTTTAGTTTTACTTTGAGACAGTTTGACCCTGCACCGCTCATAGCTTTTTACTGTATCAGCTTCACATTTCATTTGTACTGATGTAGAATATCACTTTTTTAACTTTCGAGGTAGGTACAGTCGTCTAGCTGGTTGACAGATGAAATTTTGGAGAAATTACAAGAATGACTGAAGCCCCATTCAGACTACATTTTTTTTATTGGCTGTTTTGGTAGTCACTGTATCTGACTATGCAATATTATCTAGATACAATAAAATGAAACACCGAAGGTGGCGAGAGCGTCAGAGTTTGCTCTGACCAACCTGTTGACACCGCTGTCTGCCTACACTGCTCTGGCGGTGAGAGCTTCAAAATTTGCTACATTTATCTCATAATTAAAGGAGCTGTTGCAGCATATCAGCAAATCTGTTACATTCCTGCATAAAAACATGCTTTCTTGCGTGGAAATACTGCACACTTTTTTATCAAATTCATTTAACAATGAATGATCAAGTTGTTGCGTGTAGTGTGGCTATGCTCCACTTATCCAATATATGTCCATATGTCTGAAATATTCTGAAGTCGTTATTGTTAGCATGAGATTCACGCTTTTTTTTATTATAAAAAATATACTTATATCATTAATGCACATCAGTAACTCGTCAATAACTATCAAACCCTGAGGAATAACTGGGGTCAGAACCAAAGTTAAAAGAACGCTGGTCTCTGGAATCCTCTCAAGCGGTGGACTTCTAAATTCTGATTGCTTGCCGCTGAACAACATCATAGCTCATTACCATAAAGTTTACTTGATTTTAAGGGGGCATCGAGAAAGACTTACTGTGGGGCTCCTCACCACTGGCTCCCATTGAGCATGAATGACTTCCGGCTACTTTGATGTTCTCGTTGCTTTCGGTGAATGCGTCTTGGGATATATTCATATACAATTTCTCACACCAGATTATAAATGAGTTTTGTTGGTTTACATGGATAACGATCGCCAACATTTATCTTTTTTTAATTCTGCCATGGTAGTCCCATACAAGCAAGAATACTGTTGCCATAACTCCTCAAAGCTTTCTTCAATTTCATATTTACCATTATAGCAGCATAGTCAAAAGCTGATTACCTGTGCTCCTCGTTTCCTATCTCGTCAACTGTATGAACATGCTTGACTTTCTGTTGATTTCATTACCCTCTTTTACACAGTGTTACTGGTGAAGATCTGGAAAATATCCGGAACAACTTTATCTGTAAATTAAAAAAATCGCTCTTTCCAGCGATTTTCCTTCTGCGTTCATACAGCGCAGCATTTGGGGAAATTAGCGGTAATGTTACAACTTCTCTTGCTGGAAAATTGCCACAACGAATGTATTGGTATTTTCAAAAAGGGCCTGTTCACACATGAAACGTCTGTAATATGGCTTCGGTTGACACATTACATGAGAAGAAACAATTTAGTCTTGTGTCCCAAAGCTCATTAGTCATTTTTTTAATCCCCACGACACCTTATGTCAAGCAAATCATGCAAAAATCAGGAAAAAATCATTTAATCTGTTAGTTGCTCTATGCTGATTCTTGCCATATCATTTAGTTTTACTGTATATTCTGCTTCAGATTGTGCCCTTTTGAATAGATTCTGCTTCCTGACCAAACATATTATGAAAGCCTAAAGTAGATATAATAAAATTTAACTAAAATTACATTAAAAAAAAATATATATATAAATTTAAAAAAAAAAAAAAAAAAAAAATATATATATATATATGTATAT